TCCCAGATCAACCTAACCCTTCCTCAGGTTGACCGGCGCGGCCGATGAGACACCCCCCACCCCCCACCTGCCCCCTTCGTTGAAACGTAAACTATCCCAACTCAGTAAGAAGAAAACATTCAAATGAAATAGCAATCTATATAATTCACAACATGTTGAAACCATACCATCCACTCCTCGCTGAAACCTTGACTCCGGGTAGTCCGATAATCAGGTCTGCTCCCTGTACACCGTACTCCTCGGAGATATCAACTGTAAGAATAGTATGGGGTAAAGGATATTCTGTAGAGGGTAAAAACAAGAATATTGAGGACTCTCCAACTATAACAAAAGAAGTCTACTATGCAAACAGCTGCTGTAAGAACTCACCCTCTGCTAAGGCCCTCCCTCCTCCTCCCTACCATTGGGTTCTCATATCAAGGAAACAAACCAAACTCAGATCCCGCTCAAGCAGTGAGGACGTTTCTTTTGTCAGTGATGAACCATCCGAGACCGGTGACGAGCAGTGCAGTGAGGACGGATCCTTGGTTAGTGACGTATCCTACAGTAATGATGAATCCCTGGTCAGCAACGTAGAGTACGAGATCGGATCCGAGGCTAGTGATGCTCAGTGCACCGAGGATGAATCCAAGTCCGACGAGGATGAATGCAGCGAGGACGGATTTCTAGCTAGTGGTGAGGAGGGTACGGAGTACCTATCTAATACCAATGATGCGTCCTGGCTGGAAAATATGAGTGACGTTGATTCTCTTTATTCTGAATCCTTATGATTCTAACCAGACAAAACTAAAGAAAAAGTTCCGGGAGCAAAAAAATGCTAAAAAATGAAAAATCATCTCTTAAACTGAACCGTATGTGAGAAAGTGGAATGATGTAAACAAAACATGAACCCTACTCTGTGATGTAAAAGTATTTTAAATTCACGTTACTTCTCGTCAACTCTGTGATATAAAAGTATTTTATATTCACGTTTACTTCTTGTCAACATTAACCCACTTCAAACTAGTGTTTTAAGAAAACAATTGTCAGTATATTTTTTATCAATAAATCATGTACATTACACGTCTACTTTCATTCCAAACTTCACATATTTTCTAAAAACAAAATCTTTAACTTGTTACTGAAAAACTTACTTTTGTTTAACAAGTATCCAATTAGAAAATGAGTTAAAAATTATGGTATAACCGCACCTTTCAACTTATTTATACCTCAGTACGCAGAATCGAAATCTGATTTAAAATCTCAAAATATTTGTTTAACCGGTTAAAACATGAAGATTGAACCTGCTATCAAAAATTAAATGGTTATATCTGAAAGTTCATATTCTAAATATGGTTTTTTACCTTTCTTCCTTTGGATGCTTTAGTGTCCACTTTCTTCTTTAACTTTGTTCTAAGCTTCTGTACTTCAAGCCACTGTCTAGTCAACTAAACAACATTCATTAAAGGGACTGTAATCGTAATTTCAAGCGACCCTCCGTGCAAATATGATAATCCTGGTTTAGAAAAGAACCCTTAAAACCTTTATCGGATCAAAAAAGTGAAAGTTGCGTCGTTTTTTTACACTCGGAAAGTGTAAAGATCTGATAAGCTCTCCATTTCTTCTTTTAAGCTAGAAGCACTTTTTCAGAGAAATAACTACATGGATTTTGGTTCATAAATCATACTTGATCAGAAATAGCATTTTCAAATTTTCATGGAGTGTCATTTGAAATTACGCGTTCAGTTCCTTTTTTTTCTCTGATTATTACACTGCAAAGGATCCATTTTATTCCGGATCCTTCAAAATTAAATTTCCAACAAAAAACATTTGGACAAATTTTTACATACAAACTTTATTTATTATTTAATGATTTTAATATTTCTGAAAAGTGTGTTATGAGAACAAAAGGTTGTTTCCGTTAGATATTGACATTTTTAGAGAATTTATTTGAGGAACCGGATCAATAGAGCTAAAATATTACAAAACATTCCGCAGTATTTTCTATTGGAAAACCAATTAGAACCATATAGGGCCAGTGGGGAGGGATTTAGAACATGTCAGCGAGAAAAAGAACAGACTTCAGAGGTACCCGAGCCAGTTTCACATTATTTAGAAAATCTTCTAAACCTAGAGCGACATAACCTAACAACAGTTCAAAATTCGATATAAGATGGTTTAATTCAACCTTCGTGCTGTTTCATATTAATGTAAAACCATAACCAAATTCCGCAATTTCATGTTAACCCAATACCGTAACTTAAGCAAATATTTTATTAGTTTTGTAGTATGCATAACTTTTAATTTGCAATATTTAAAACATTGGCACTTCAGGAGCTACTAAAGATCTAAATAGAGCAACTGGAGGAAAACAAAATTCAAAAAACAATCAATAAGCCCGACAAAGCTTAGCTCTTGAATTGCATTTCTTAGCTCTAAAATTTCAAAAATGCATTATTTAGCATATCTGTTTAGTAATGTCCTGTAAATATTACACTGAGTGAAGAAAAAAATTTCGCGAAAGGTATACAAACATGATAATAATGTTTTAGTAAGAAGTAATTTTGGTTAGGGTAACATCTCTACTTGAAATAATATTAGGGTTGAAAGATGGGTATAACCAAATTCAGCAATTTTTTAAATATTAACAAAAAACGTGCTTACTTAACAGTAAATTATCTATTTATGTGTTCCATACCTGAGACTGATCAGAAGAGCTGTTAGTTTTCCTATCGATCAGATCTCTGAGAAGTTGATGGTAGAAATCATCGTCGTCAAATATATCAGGATCCGTCTCATTCATCTCATTCTCGGCCATCTCTCCTGATCGTCCTATTGTCTGGTAGTTGGTTCGTTTCAATTTAGTTCTAGCAATCAACCTCGCCGGATTGGCGAGGATCTGATCTATCTGGAGGACAGTGGAGGTTTCCATTGACGAGAAAGAATTTTTTCCGGACGCTATTCTTGTTTTGTCACTCCATTTCTGTATTATTTCATTTCTCTCCGGCTTATATTCTTGATGGTTTTGAATTAAGGTATCGCTGAACTCGGTCAATTTCTTCTTTTTTCTCGGAGGTTCTTCAGCCTCAGAGTTTACAAGGACAGCCTCCAATTCAAACAATTCGTTAAGAAGAAGTTTAAGAGATTTTTGAGTTTCAGTGACTTGAGTTTTAAACTCTCCGTCTCCCTCGGAGCAGAGTTGACTCCAGTAAGGATCTACAGGAAGACGGTTTATCCTTGTGAGTAGCTTTTGCTGCTGAATCCTGGTTTCCAGCAGTTTATCCCAAACCTTGAGCTGGTGCTGAACAGCTTTACCCTTCTCTACTTCTTCGGATAAACCATTTTTTCTCAACAAATTTTCTTCATCTTCTACTTCACTATCTGCTTCCTCGTCATCTTCTTGGTCTGAATCTACTTCTGCTTCCTTTTCCCCCTCCTGCTCACTTCCTTCACTATCCTCTTCTTCTTCCAGATCTCCATACTGGGAAAAATCTGTTTCTTTGTCAAATACAAAACCATTCTTGTTATTCTCTTCCTTTCCTCCATCTTCAACCTCCCAACCTTCATCATCGTCTCCTTCTTCCTCATCTTCGTCTCCTTCTTCCTCATCTTCGTCCCCTTCCTCCTCCTCTGACTCATCCTCTTCATCAGCTCCCTCAAACATATGTCCAAGCTCTGCTGCCGCCTGTTCACGCAGATCTACAGCTGTATCTTCAACTTCTTCTCCTCTCTGTTTAGCAATCCTAGATCTACTGATCTTCTTCCCGGCATACCTGGAGTCCTCATCTAGATCCGCGTTCTTGATCCGAAGCTTACTCCGTTCTGATCCTCCAACTCCAGAGAGATATTCAGAATCCTCCAACTCGGGTTCAAAATCTGCAACCTGAAACATAATAAAAATAATGCTGTAACTTATCATTTTATTTCAAAACCTTCTTCACTTTAAGGCGACTGTCGTTGAAATTTTAATTAACCTTCTATTTAAAGAAAGAGGAGTATGCATTTTTGTATTGTTAAAGATGTAATTATTTTCTATTGAATTCTGACAAAGGGGAGGGTGAAATAGACCAATTTGAATACATTTGGTAATCCTGTCTTCATTTTTTAAGGAATCTGAATGAAATTTTGCAAAAAGGCATAATTTGTTCAAGATAAAAAAAATTTTAAAATATTTTTTCACCCTTTCCCACTTTTTCCACGTTTTTTATGGCTTTTTTTTACCAAAGTCTGTTTCAAAGACAAGCTCTGTAAGTCTAGAATCTCATTACTAATATCAGAACGAAGTTTAAGGTTTATTTTCACTTTTCTCCCCGTTTTCCCCTATTTTTTCATATTTTCCCCTATTTTTTCATATTTTCCCCTTATTTAATCACATTTTCATACTTAGTTAATATTTATCAATTGTTTGCAAGCAGATCTCAATTGGATAGTATTTTTGGAAAACAAAATAAAAGGGGGAAATATCATGCATCATCATATTTTCCCACTTTGTTAATAGTTTTCACATTTTCTAGATTCATGGAGAAGATTTTCATCGAAAACTAAAGAACTTTTGAACACAGGCCTTAATTGGATTTTATTGTTGTAAATCAATCCATCATTTAAGCAGTCGCTCAATCAATCAAGCTGAATTTAATATTTCCCTTTACTTTCCACCATTTATCGGAACCTGTCCCCCACCACTTCTGTAAAAAGGGAAGTTAAGAGTTTCATATACAAATAATGTAATTTACTGAAGAAATTCATTTAAAGAAGACATTAATTTTTATATTAATTGTAATTGATTTCCGTCTATTCGAAGTTATTTCTTTGAGTTTAAAAACATAGAAAAAGAGGGATTTAAATTTTTTTTTTTAATTTTATTCTATTGAGGTCTGTGTGCAACAGATTTTGTTTTTAATGATGAATTCATGAATCCAGAAAATGTAAAAAATATTCAAAAGTAGAGTAATATGATAAAATATAATAAAATAGGGAGAAAAGTAATCTGATAAACCTTACACTTCGTTCTGATGTTAATAATGAGATTCTTGACTCGCAGGTAGATGTTTAGAACACCTATCTGGTATTTGAATCAGACTTTTTGGTAAGATAGCTTTAAAAAACATGGAAAGAAAGGAAGGAAAATAATTTGTCCTTACTTTTTTTTACAAAAATACTATCGAATTGAGGCTTTTGTGCATAAGATTTTTTTACTTTCGATGAAAAATGAATTTATGATTCCAGAAAATATGAAAAATACGAGCAGTGGAAAATATGATAAAATCGGGGGAAAATCAGGGTAAACTAGGGGAAAAGTGGGGGGGGAAAGTAATCTGAAAACCTTTAACTTCGTTTTGATGTTAGTACTGAGATTCTTAACTAAAAGGTAGGTTTTTAAAACACCTAGCTTGTCTTTGAAATAAGACTTTTTGGTAAAAAAGCTTTAAAAACATGGGAATGGTGGGCAAAAGGAGGGGGAAAATATTTATTAAATATATATAAATATCCAATTGAGGCTTGTGTGCAAAAGATTTTTTATTTTTCATGAATCCAGAAAATCTGAAAATATTAACAAAGTGGGAAAATATGATAAAATAGGGAGAAGTGATCTGAAAAACCATCAAATTCGTTTTAATGAGATTCTTGACTAACAGTTAGGTGTTAAAAACACCTTGCTGGTATTTGAATCAGACTTTTTGGTGAAAAACCTTAAAAACATGGAAAATTGAGGAGATGGGGTGGGATACTTTTTGGTTCAAATTTTTTTAAAGTCAATTTTCAAAGAAAAGATGATAAATATCTTGTGTATTTCTGATCTTTCGTACAAGTACCGTTGTAAATCGGACATGCCACTCTATAAATGTAGGGTCACTTATTGCACTCAACAGTCACATTAAGTGAAGCCCTAGTTTGTTTTTCAAGTCAAAAGGTTTATTATCTACTGTTCTTCATCCTCTAATACCAATTGTAATATTTAAAAAACAACAAAAAAACCTTGGCACCAAACACAGCATAAAAAAATGTTAAGAAAATACGGTACAAGAAAAATATTGGACCGAAACACTGAAGTAATTGTAAGATGAGCAATATGAGCAATGCTAATCAAGTTTTTAATATTTTAATTTCATATTGCTTTATTATACTTTGTATCACCACTTGCTAATTGACAGTATTTACTTTGATTTTTGTATAAGAAAAGCTCGGAAATATCTGAAAATTATCGAATTTTTTCTTCTCAATTCGGCTTTATTTAGTTAATCTCAAAATTAAGCAAGTTAAAAGGTAGACATAATTATTTAAAAGTTTCCATAATATTTATGACTTAGTAGAATTTCTAATGAAATTCGCTTAGTCGAAATATTGCACGTTTTTAAACTAAAAACATTAAATGAATCCCAGTGATTTCTTTGTATGGTTCCGAAAAATGGTGCTGACAGAATTCTAATTTTAGTTTATAGCTTGCTCCTAAAATAATAACGTAAATAGTGAAGTGGGGCCAATAAAACTGTGGAATATGCAGAAGTCTGTAGACTCGCGTTAAGACCTTAAAAAGGTCAAAAGTGAAAAATTGCAATTGTGCAATGAACCATGAATCATTTTACTTATTCTTCTATTTTGTTCTAGTTATGATAGGACAAAGGACTTTTTTAGTTTTCCGGCAATTCTACATAAAAATATTCTTTCGACGACTCATTTAGACTTAAAAGAATATTGTTTGTTGAAAGGCTAACAACTCCAGACAGTTCTTCACCAACTGGTAACCGTTGGAAACCCCCGGCTAAAAATTAATATTCTAATATCTTGTTTATGTTTGGATTATTTTCAGGAACTCCTGGCGGAGTATAAAGGAAAATTTCCGATTGTTGTCATGATATTCATATGGTTGCATATATCACATTAATATACTGAGTATATTATATTCAATAATTACGAATACCCAGTGAATCAAGATTAAAAATAAGGGACATTTATTTTTTTCTTTTGGTATTTTTATTTTTTCTTTAGATATTTAATTTCATTTTTCGATCTTAAACAACACTTGTTGTCAAGTATTTCAAGACAAAATGAATCTTACTTTGATTTCTCAATCATTACTGAGAACCTTTAGTCAAACTTCTCTCCAGTTACAATTTTAATTTTGCATTTAAAACCGACTTAATCATTGCATGCTATGTTGTGTACTGTACAGGCATAGAAATATAAGAATCCGAACTCATTCCCTTCGTTCAAACCAAACTGCCTTGAATAATTCATTTTTTCTTGGTTATCGTTGTAAGTTCTTATATAGTTACGAATTTCCTAAATAATATTTAATCCTCTTAACCTGTCAATTTTAAATTAATCCAGAATAACTTATCAGCAGCGGGAAAATATGAAGTTTAGGTTGAGAAAAGGAATTGTTACGTTTCATGGTCCATTATACTCATTTATTTACAAAACACCAGTTTAATATCTAGTTAGTACGAGACAAGAACATATTTAGGAAACAATCCCTTTAATCTGAACTACACTAGCCTACTGATCTGCTCTACCTTAGCAGCAGTTTGATCCTGCTCTATCTCTGGATCCTGGAAAATAGGTTCAGGGTTGACAAGGTTTGCAAGTTTCTCAGCCAACGACATGATATTCTGAAACGAGGAAGATTGAAACACGTCGCTCCGAACATATCGTTTATTTCTCATGTTTCAACGTACAGATTAAAACTTGTTGAAGGACTTCTTGCTGGCCTGGCTCTTGGTGACCTTCAAGGTGTTGAACTTCACGGTCTTGCTGAGAGGTCTGCATTCTCCGACAGTGACGACATCTCCAACCCGGGCGTCCCTGAAGCAGGGGGAGAGGTGGACAGACATGTTCTTGTGCCTCTTCTCGAACCTGTTGTACTTCTTGACGTAGTGAAGGTAATCACGCCTGAAATAGCATTACATGTGAGGTCGGAGGGTAAGATTTGGTCTCTGAGATGCGAGAAATTAAGAAAATCTAAACCTCTAAAAATGTTAATTTCAAAATCAAGCCAGATATTTTAGTTAAAGGAGGTTTGACACAATTTAAGAAAAATATTTTGGTGACTGACATTTCTCTTGCTTTTGTTCCAAGTATTGCTTAGGGTCCAGATCTGCAAATATATACGGATCCATGGATCCGGATCAAAACTAAATCTGAACTGATGAAAAGGAGATTATTTGAATTTGAATTTGGATCCGAGTCAAAATCTTACGGATCCAACGGATCCAGATCCTAAGTACTGATAAAATCAGTAAATTTATGTCCTAGATTTGGCCGGATCAGCGGCAAAATAAACGGATTCTAAGCGCTGTCAAGGTGTATTTCCAGACTGGATTTTGGATGCTTCGAGAAAAACCCTAAAACCCATCAGACAACACGTCTCCGACAGATATATATTTTTTGTCTCATTTCGGGGCTTTGTTGTTTTTTTTTAAAGAATAAATTAAAGATCACTCCCCAACCCCTCCATTAAAGAGCCCCAGTGTTTTTAGCCTCCAACCCATACCTGATCACAACAGTCCTGTTCATCTTGGTCTTGGTAATTAAACCAGTGAGAACACGTCCACGGATTGAAACCTAAATATTTCAATATACTAGGGATAGTAGCCTGGAAACCTAAATATTTCAATATACTAGGGATAGTAGCCTGGAAACCTAAATATTTCAATATACTAGGGATAGTAGCTTGGAAACCTAAATATTTCAATATACTAGGGATAGTAGCCTGGGAAAAAATTATCTAATAAAATGGGTAACATTGTAATTGACAGAACTAAAGAATTGAGAAGAAAATTAAATTTATTAATTGAAGATTCAATTGAGTTAAATTCATTTTTTAAATTCGCCAAGAGCAAATCTTTTGGAAAGATTTATTAAAAAGAGCAGTTATTGTAATATTATATATAATAATCATATTCTTGTCCAGGATCGTCATGAGACGTGTGAAACATTAAGTTTAGTATACTTCTTTTTCAATAAAATGTGAAGTTTATAAACTGAAATATAATGTCATGTTTGTGTGTAATATTACTTGAAGGGAAATGTCTTATTGTGCGAGAAAAAACTGTTAAGCAATATTTAAGGGGCAAAAGAATTTCAAAGTTATCGTTATTTACGAGATGCCTTAAGGCAAAAACCAATAGTTGCATCGTATTTTTCGTTATGATATACTCGAAGATTTGAGACACTACTCTAAAAAGGGTACAGTTTTCCCAAAACAACATTCGAATTTGAGAAAACTCCACTGCATGAGCTTGAGGATGAGTACGTACATGCAGATTCACATAAACCCATGGCCAGCTATTTTCAATATACTAGGGATAGTAGCCTGGGAAAAAATTATCTAATAAAATGGGTAACATTGTAATTGACAGAACTAAAGAATTGAGAAGAAAATTACATTTATTAATTGAAGATTCAATTGAGTTAGAATCATTTTTTAAATTTTTTAGGGCAAAAATCAATGGTTGCATCGTATTTTTCGTTATGATATACTCGAAGATTTGAGACACTACTCTAAAAAGGGTCATAAACTAATTAACTCAGAAGAGTATACCGACATTTATTCAGGGGCTTGATCTTAAAATCTCCCTCAGCTTAAATGGTCCCCTGAATGAAGTGTAATTGTAAAATTATCTTACCTTGCCAGTGAAGGGGCACTTTTTATCGATATAGTTTCCGGTTCTGGCCTCGGTGGGGATCTTGAATCCTAGACCGGGGTTGTAGAAGAACCTCGACTCGGAGGGTTTCAGACCTCCCTTCTTATTCAAGAAGATGGTCGGCTGCTTCTGAAAAGCTCTCTCAGTTTGCTCCGCCATTCTATCTGAAATTAGTAGTTTGCAAGAGCGGTTCTGAACATGTTTACTTCAGAGGGATGAATCTTGACGAGTGGGTAGCTCCAATACCGGGCCTTCCGTGCTTCACAGGCTGAAATAAAAACAATAAATATAAGTCATTTGTAAAATAGATAATTTTTGCGAATAAAGCTATGAATACTATGAAAGGCACGAGCCAACGAAAAAATAACTAATTCTTATTTAAGAAATTTTTAAAGATTTAAACTTCTTACGGGGATATATTTTAGAGAATTTCTCAAAAAAAATGAAAATAAACATTAAAGGGTTAGTTCTTACAGGGATGTACTAAGAAATTCTCAAAAAAAAAATTGGACATTAAAAGGCAAGTTGAATCCTGAACTTTTATACAAAATTTTGAATTTTACCTCCTAAAATATATCGTTTCTCCNGAGTAGGCTTTTGACCTGGAACAGGTCACCCATCATTTAATACCTTGTAGGAGATAGAGAACTCTCCGAGATAGTGTCCGACCATCTCAGGCTTGATCTCAACCTGGTTGAAGGTCTTGCCGTTGTATACTCCGACCACGGAGCCGGTCATCTCTGGAACAACGACCATGTTCCTCAGGTGAGTCTTGACAACATCGGGCTTCTCATTTGGGGGAGCTTCCTTCTTCTTCCTGCGCAGCTTCTTGATCAGGGCCATGGGCTTCCTCTGAATAAAAGCGGTTATTTCATTAATATCAAAGTAAAGGACGAATTTAAAGTTAACTTGTAAGGTACTAACATTCAGAGTATATATTTTTTAATCCCTGCTCTCATGTCCCAGTTGACTCCAGTTCTGTTAATACATTTTGCTTGAAACTTTAGAGAATCTCTGAACGTATGTAATTTCCCCCAATTCAGCAATTAAACCCCTTGTGCGATAATTTGCTCCGTGCATTCATACTAAACGATGGGAGGAAAATGATTGTTCAAAAGGGGGGGAGGGGGGATGCTTATACAGAAAATATAGTTTAAAGCTATGGTGTAAAAAGATGGAAATTTAGCCCTTATATAATCAAACCCAAAAATCATGCTCAAGGACGGACACGATAAATAATAAAAAATGTACAAAATTGATTAGCGGGGGGGGGGGGGGCCAAAAATCGTTCTGAGACCCAATCTTTTAAAATCGAAATTGGTAAATACAGGTTCGAAATTTACCTTAATTCCACGGGAAAACTTCCTGCGGATCCTGCAAGGGAAGAGTTCCATCAGCTGCTCGTGGTTCATATCCAGGAGCTGATCAAGATCGACACCTCTGTAAGTAAACTTACGGAAGGTCCTCTTCTTCTTCATATCGGCAAGCTGAGCTTCGTCCGCCATTTTTTCTTCTGCAAATTACAAAATATTAATAACAATAAAGTGAGGACCAAGTCATATCATCTTCATGATACAATAGTAACCTCAGCATATCAGAAGCTACCGTATCTCGGGTCCGTCCTAGGGAACGAATTTGGACCCCCCCCCCCCTATNACTTTCTGGGCTGAGCGCTGCGGCCACGGGTTAGGTTAAGTTAAAACACTTTCTATAAGATCCATGTACAAAATTGATGGGAAAGGGGGGTCCAAAAATAGTTTTCTAGAAAATTACCCGTATCTTCGAGTAGAACGGCACAAAACATTTTTAAGTATGTCGATACCACAAAGTGGGAAAACTTTTATACATTATTATTTAGACATCAATTAGGTACAAGCTCATTCGAACTAGACGAAACGGACCAAAGGTTTCCCTGTCCTATAAATTTTCGACCTAAATTTTGTATCAAAATAGGTGTGGGGAGTTACTACTAGATAAATAATTGCGAAACCCTTGACATCGGTTTCCTCTCGAATAGATTTCACAGCATCTTATAAAGTATTTAGTTTGAGTAAAATTAACTAGAATGTAAGAATACAGAATTTCCTGAAAAATACGCTCTTACAAAAAGAGACTTTTTAAGATAATTCTTAGATGCAAAAGCGAGCAGACGGTATACGTGTACATCTGAATATTTAGCTCGCTTCTTCATTTAATAAATATATGTAAATTCACTAGAAAACACCTACAAAAGTACCAAACTTTGCAAATAAACTCACGAGCCCGTTCTAATAAATACACGTGCATGTAGGGCTACCACTAAAATGTTAGTAATGTTTGGTTTGGTTTAAAGACAGGAAGCGGAGTTAGAAAGAAGACGACAGAAATATCAGGGAAAGATTCTGAAATTATAATTTTTTTTCTCCGTATTTTAAAATAAAAACCGACGTAGTCCACTCTTTCCACGCCCGTAGCTAAGAATTTTCCAAGAAGGGCCCAATATTAGAAAGCAAAGTTTAGGCAATATTTTTTTGCAAAAATTATTCTTGTTTGCGCGGATAAAAATTTTCAGGTTTACTAGCTGAATTTTCGTTTAAAAAATATTTAAAAATATTAAAAAGGATGAATTAAGTATCCCTATAACATCTTATTTTTTATTTTTCTCCACATCACCCCAGGGAGGCATCCGTAGGGGGGGGCACGTGCACCTAGTGCCCCACCCCCTCGTACCCCCCCTGACTGAAAAGTTCAAACATGAAAATCTTCAGTTTTCCCAAAACAACATTCGAATTTGAGAAAACTCCACTGCATGAACTTTAGGATGAGTACGTACATGCAGATTCACATAAACCCATGGCCAGCTATCATAGGCGGTTTCAAGGGGGGGGTGGCAGTCCATTACCCCCCCCTGAGTGAAATTAGGGGGGGGTGTACCCCCCCCTGGATTTTTACAAATCATTTCTCATTTAAAGTATAGTTTTTATTTATTCTGTATAAAAAAAAGATTATAAACCCTAGAATAGAAATTGAAATTTCAGAAAGCACTAATTTTATCTTTAAATTCAGGAAAAAATAATTAAATGGCTTAACACATAATAATTAATAACAACAATTTAATTTTGGCCAATTTTCTCCCCGTTTATCCTTTTTTCTTTAATTTTTCGTTTTCTTCAATTCATTTTTTTTCAATTCCTTCTTTTTTGTCTCAGATAATGTGTAAAAGGGGAGGGCACATTCCCCTGTTCCCACTCTATATTACGGACCTGCGACGTACGAGAAGAAATTATCTTCCGATTATATAATCCATCGGTGATTCTTTGGGAAATTGGGTTAATAAATATTGACATTCAGTCGGAAACAGAAAACAGTAGAATTGTTGTGTTCGTTTTTTTAAATTAGCTTTAATGTTACTGTTAATTTGTATACAATTCTCTCAATATGTTTTGAGCACATTGTATCTACTGTCTAAGAATAAATTGAGCTTTAACGAAAGATATCAATCGTTCAGAAATCGTAATTCGCCATCGAGGTCGTTTTCTCCATCGAGTATTGCCATTTAGAATAATAACTTCAGTCTAAAAGTCGTCTCCCATTTCACAGCTTTATGGGTCTTCACATGGAATTTTATTTAAAACAATGGTTTACAGGGCTATTCATTTCTTATAGTACTGAAATTATTCATATTAATAGGAAACAATTTCAAATCAATATTTAATGGAATTGAGCGAGCATTAACAACTGCAGAATACTGATTGGAGCTGGAAAAAATGAAAAAAATGAGGCTAGATAACCTAGAGAACTATAGAGATGTAGAATGAGCTCTAGGATCTTAAGGAGATCATGAAGCTGGAGTTTACTTATGGAGCTGGAAAAGCTGGAAGAACTGAAGGAAATAGAGGAACTGGGGAACTGGTGGAGCTGGAAGAACTAGTGAAGCTGGAAGAAATGGTGGAGCTGGAAGAGCTGGTGGAGCTGGAAGAACTTGTGGAGGAGGAAGAACTGGAGGAGCTCGAAGAATAACTGGTCGAGCTGGTGAAACTAGTGGAGCTGGAGAAACTGGAGGAACTTGTGGAGCTAGAGGAGCTCATGGATCTGGATAAAACTGGTGGAGCTGAAAGAACTGGTGGAGCTGGAGGAACTTGTGGATTGTTAGTGGGGGTAAATCATAGAACTTTGTTTGCAGTAGAGCTGGATATCTTCTTCCAACTCTTCCTGGGTGTGCTAACCGGCTCTGCAAGTGTGCACTCCATCTGACTGCAATAATAGTTCATCATATTAATCAATAATTTACTTAGTTTTAAAAAAATATTAGGCTTCAGATTGCATTCTAATAATACATATTAAATCATACTGAATATAGAAACCAGAACTTGGCATTAGAGACGTATATAGATCCATATATATATACCTATATAGATCAGTGAAACCTATGGTTTCCAGATGGTTTTAAGTCCCCAATCAGTCCCCAACGGGTTCTGAACTTATGAGCCCCCTCCCCCCCCCTTCTAGACAAATTCCTGTATACGCCCTGCTTGGCATGCACTGCAGTGTGTGAATTCTAAAAAGGGTTGATATAAAAAACATGCAAGTATGTATCATGATTATACAATAATTAACAAACATTACTTTCTAGAGGCATGCACCTTCATGTTCCTCATCCTATATGGTGCTATAAATTTGAGTCTACAAATCTGAAAACAATTTTTTGGACTTATTCATCAAAGAACATGACATATACGATAATTATATCTACGTGTTTGAAGAGAAAAAATTGATTTAAGAACCCTACTTTTTAAATTTTTGATGAAGCCTCTCTGAAAAAAATAAACATTTTAGTTTTAAAGTGAGGGTAGTAAAAATTCTCCTCCTTTCCTTGTTGTGTCTCGAGTTTAATAGATTTTTTGCATTTGGGGAGAGTTCTACTAATTTTAGGCTTAAAGGCATAATCTTTTGAAGTTCAATTATCCATGTTTTTTTTATGTACAAGGTTACCCACAAAGGATGAGACTTCAGAGGGGAATGTACGAAATTTATATACCGTCTGTTTCCTTGCATTTAGGATTCTCTGCAACTGTCAACTTAAGTTGCTTTCTTTGCAAAATCAGTAAAAAGTCCATAAAAAGTTTCAGATCGTCCTTTTTTTGGGTAACCCTGTATGAAACCAAAATTTTAAGGTTCAAAATATTTAAGACCTCTTAAAAAGGGAGCGATGAAGGTTTAAACAGGTATCGATTTATTACCTTAACTGTTTGTACGGAAACGCCATAGATATTGTTCTTCTCTCTGCACTCCGAGCTCGATGGGTTGGATCAGGTTTAGTTTGGGCTCCAGGTTTACCTAGAGATAGGCAGTTTTATGATTAGTTTTAATCCAAAAAATCTTGAAAATCTGTATTTAGTTTATTGTATATATTTACCTGGTTCTACAGTATGTAATGCGCTAAATGAACACTGATCTAAGCTTGCCAGAACATTTTCAATAGATCTTCTTACAGGAACCCGTCCTCTTCCTTGTCCATGTTCTATATCTTGAGCATTCCTACCCTTCAGTCCAACTTCTATACTCGAACTGTGTCCTTCCATGCTCACTATGTGTCCTGAACTCAAACTTGGTAGTTCAGAGGACAGTAAAGCTTGTGAACTTCTGTATCGAGCTGAACGAGCGATTTTTCTCAACTCAAACCCCTGGGAAATGACATCTTTTTAAATACTTGTCTGTCTGAATCTAATAAAATTCAAACGACTGAACCGATCAGGCAACATTTTTTGTGGCAACTCAAAAGACCTCAGGGAAGTTTAATGGAAGGTTGAAATTGAAAGAATCTTTTTTCCAAGAAAAAAGGTTGACATTTATTCTCTTTGAAATCTACCAATTTAAACAGAAAAATACGCGAACATTTGTTTTTATTGGAGAACGTTAAAAAAAATGGCGACTTGAGCAACAGTTAAAAGTAAATTGTTACTAGGAAAGAGAGATAAGCGAATTTAAAACCCACCTAGTGAAATAGAACTAAATAAAGGTTTTAAACTATATGATTTTATATTTACCCTGTTTACTGCTGGGTTCTCAAAGTAAGATTTGCTTTTTTTCATTTTGAGTTTTCTGTCTGTGTCATCTTTTATCTTTTTCTCCGATATCTCTGCAACCCTGCTCCGATACTCATAAACACTTGGATACTCTGAGGGATCCGTTCCTGTAAACTTGAAATATTCTAATACTGCAGTTTTAAATACAGGACATGAAATATTAAACTTTTATTTCCACCTGTCAGGATCCTTCCATGATATGATTTATATAGTGTTCGCATTCAGTACTATACATGAAACCAAACTACCATGAAACAAGGAGTTTACATTCAGTACTATACATGAAACCAAACTACCATGAAACAAGGAGTTTACATTCAGTACTATACATGAAACCAAACTACCTGGAAACTAAATGTTTTTATTTAGTACTATACATGAAACCAAACTACCTTGAAACAAAGTGTTTATATTCAGTACTATACATGAAACCAAACTACCATGAAACAAAGAGTTTATATTCAGTACTATACATGAAACCAAACTACCTTGAAACAAAGAGTTTAAGGGTACCGTTGGGAGTCACTACAATTGACGTCTACAGTTCCTTTAATGCGAGTAATCAGCTTCTTTATTTGTTTTAATACCTGACACTTCTTTTGATCGTTGTTGGATCTGTTTGCGCGGTGATTCTGTAATTTCTCTGGATCTTACTTTTCTTTCTCTGCTAGTCTTACTTCTCAGCTCCTCATTAGGCTTTCCTGGTCCTTCTCTTAACCTGGAAAATATGTAGAATTGAAAACATATAATTGAATATATAGGGTGTCCTAGAAAACATGAAAATAGTTGATTACTTTAAAATTGTCTTTTAATAACAAGCTCCTCAGACGAACGACATTTTTTCATGCTCTCATCCAAATTCAATATCAAAGACAACCTCAATGTCGTCCGTAAATCTCATGTAAATTGGGACACTCTGTATCTAGTTTGTATTTTTAGAAGTTATGGACAAACCTGGTTTCACTGACAGAGATCCCACTGTCACAGCTCTCAGCTGCGTCTTCGTAATAACTCCTACAGGTTCCAGCTCCTGACCTGGTTCTCCGGGTTCTCCGGTTTAGTAATCTCTCCTCTGGAACCTTCTCCGATAAATCTACCCCTTGTTTATTAGGATTTCTAGGTGTACCTGGAGTACTCCGACTAGATTTGATCCTGGTAGAGTGGGAGGAGAAGAGTCTATCTCTGTTCTCCAACACATACACAACATCATCGGAGTCGGAGTGGGAACTCTGAAGAACTCTTGGAATCCGTCCAGGTCTCTTGTCACTGATATCTAAACTCTTATCTACAGAAGTACTAAACTTACTCAATCTTTCTGGAAATGAGTCCATGTCGAATTCATTGAATTCGTATTTTTTTCCGGGAAAAAAATTCTTTACCGATGCCTTTCCAACAGCGTTGTTGTCTTCTTCAAATGAGCTCTGAGGAATAATTCTTATCATTTCATTATTATTCAATATTTCCTCTTTCCTTTCAATCTCACATTTAGGATTATTCCATGCATCGTCATCCCTGTGTTTAAACCTGGATTGTTCATCTCGGAGTTTTAAAGGTTTCGTTGCGACATGTTTCGGAGTTTTCCTGTATACAGGCTTCTCATTCTCATCCTCGTCATTGTAAAACTTAACACAGAACTCAATACTTTCAGAGTTATTTTGCTCCGGGATCCAGGTCTTAGATTCAGGTTTATTCTGCTCATGAATCCAGGTCTCTGGTTTATTCTGCTCATGGATCCAGGTCTCTGGTTTATTCTGCTCATGAATCCAGGTCTCTGGTTTATTCTGCTCATGAATCCAGGTCTCAGGTTTATTTTGCTCATGGATCCAGGTCTCAGATTCAGGAACTCTTCGCTCATTCTCAGGGGCTTGTGTCTCTAGCTCATCCGTTTCTAAAATTATTCTCATTTTTAACAAAGATTTTACTCATTACAGATTCTCTGTATTCTATGTTTAGATTTTCTATATTTTATATTTAGATTTTCTATTTTTTTAATCTTTTTATGTTCTTTCTAGATTTTCTAGATTTTATATTTAGATTTTCTATTTTCTTTATCTTTATTCTATGTTCTGTTTAGAATTTTTCTATATTCTTTATCTAGATTCTCTATATTCAATATCCAAATTTTCTATATTCTATATCTATATGTTCTTTATTCTAATCCAGATTTTCAATATTCTATATCCAGATTTTCTATACTCTATATCTAGATTCTATGTATTCTAAATTTAGATTCTCTATATTCTAGGTTATATTTAGATTTTCTGTATCAATATTTTTTATGTTCTATATCTATATTTTCTATGTTCTACATTTAGATTTTCTATATTCTATTTCCAGATTTTCTATATTCTATATCTATATTTTCTTTATTCCATATCCAGATATTCTATATTTTATTTTTAGATTTTCTATATTATATATCCAGATTTTCTATATTCTAAATCTTTATTTTCTATATTCTATATTTTTATTTTCTATATTTTCTATATTCTTTATCTAGATATATACTTTGCTTGCCTGTTTGTCTCTGTTTTGGTGTTTGTTTGTATCCAATAAACGTCAAAAAGACTGAACCGATCGAGCCCAAATTTTGAGTGGGACCTCACATGACCCCAAGGAAGTTTTATGGATAATCGAATTTTCAAAAATTTCAAACTATTAATACTTATAGATAAAATAATCTAAGTTTGAAATATCAAAGGTTTGCACCATCAGGTTGCAAAGATATTGGGATCAGANTATCACTTAGGTTATCTTTTACTATTGGGACAAGGGAGCAAATAAGTAGGAAATGGGGAATTTTCCCCGTCCTTAGAAACCATTTAAAAAGCTGAGTCACATGGTTAATTAGTGAATCTGGAGCATTTATGAAACAGTCGGAGTTAAACTGAAAAAAAGCATTACTTTTACCAGGTTTTAGCTTTCTTTAGAGCAGCTCGTACAGTACTATTATTGACCTTATCCAAGTCTGATTCAAGTTTTGGAATAATCCTATTATTTATTTGTTCATTCACATTTTTAAATTCTTCTCCTAATAAATGTTTAGAATAAAGATCTTGATAAATTGCAGCAAAGTGCTCACATATATTCTGTGCTCCAACCACACCATCTATACTGCTTGACACAGTTTTGGAATTTCCACGAAATTTCTTGATCTCATTAAAGATATTTACTCCGCCATTGAGAAGACTTTGCATAAATTTGTCCTTTTGCATATTATAATTTGCTCGTTTTAATCTCCTGACAGCATATTTATATTGCATCTTAGCTGTACGATTTACATTATACAGCTCACCTTGATCAGGACACCCTGCTGCCATCCATACTCCATGCCAAAACAAGCTTTCCTCTTGGTATGGTTTTACATACTCCGACCATCCTGGTAGACCATTTCCATGTTTATTTAAAGTTCCGCCTACTACTGGTAAGCACTGTATAGCAGCAGTATTCACAGCTTCACAGATATTGTTCTACATCTTCTGTATGCACATCACAATTTAATGTATAGCATTCTACACAAACTTCTGGAGGATTAATTTCTAATAAAAGATTATTCAAGGTTTCATCATAGTCCTGCCTTTGATCTAGGTTAGCTTTATCCCAGCTGGGTTTAGGCCTTTTTATCTCAGGTTCTACATTTAAGTTTATGAGTTCTATATTAAGTTTGCAGTATATAGGAAGATGATTTGAATGATTATCTGCACTCACAATAACATCTGCTTCAACTACAGCATTAAATAACCGATCATTTCCCAAAAAATGATCAATCACTGAAGAATGTGTCACATTGTTTACAGTATTCACATATGCAAACGGAATGTTAGTAATCCTGTGGGTTTCACTATTGTCAGGCATGCTCCAGAATATATTTAAACCTGTGGTGTTCACAAAATCACGAATTATGTTCACCATTGGTGTATTTCTTGAAAAATCACAATTTATATCTCCAGCTAGAAGCACATTTCTACATTCGGATCTTGCAATAATTTGTTCTATCTCAGCAAGTAATGATAAAAGTTCGTTGTCATTAAAAGCATCATTCTGTGGATCGACCATAGAATATAAATTGAATAACAGAAGATCAGCCTCAGGAAAATTAAATTTAACTGCTTGAATTCGGAAACTGTCACTTTTAACCTGTGAAATATATTTAGTGAAACCTTTTTTCCACAAATGTTTATAATTGAACATCATCCTCTAAGACATGAAACCTTCCTGTGTTTCCTGTATTCAAGGTAGCTCCATTGAAACCACTTTCTCTGACAGCTGCCTCTGACCTTGAACTTGACAGCTGTGATACCTGTCTATCTGTGCGGGGTACCAGATATACCAGAGAAAATACTTAAATGAAAACAAATAAAACTTTTGTGCAAAGAAACTGGGTTTTTGCCACATACTTAAACTTTCTAATCCCTTTATCTTTGCAACCTGATGGTGTAAACATTCGCTGTAAAAAAAATTAAATTATCTTATCTGACAGAATTTGAGTTTGAAAACGATAATGGGTTGCCAAGATATATAGATTAGAAGATCAGAGTTTGTGGCAAAAACTCAACTATTAAGCGCTGATCTATACAACGTCTGATCGAGGGGAGGAAGGCATTTTCTCGTCCGAGCCACTTCAACCTCGTCCTTCCAATAATATTTTATTTAAGTGTCCAAACCTTAAAGATAAGACTATTTTTAACAAATCCAGCCACGTCAGGGAATAGATGAAATATAAAAAATAGCTTCAATTGAAATAAAGTTTTCAAACTCTGTTTCATCCCAACTTCACAGAATTTCAATCTTTTTTTTGTTAATTAAATTAAAAACCATCAAATTTTTGCAATTTATTTAATACTAGCTGACGGGCCCGTAGAAAAAAATAAAATATTTTGGAGAAAAAAAATATTTCGATTTTTTTATCCTACAACAGTACAACATCCCGCGTTCACCCATAAGTGTCCACAAAAAATTTCAACCCGATCTGTCCAGCCGTTTGGCTGGCTATACGCAACATATATATGAATGTCTTGGTTATTATAAAGATAGATTGTAAAGGTTAGCCATTACGTCGGCTGAAGAGATGTAATTATTACCGAAATAAAGTTTGACATCATTCTCATGGATTCTAAGTTAAACTGATATGTTGTAATAATTGAAATACTTTAGACTAACCATATTTTATGCCCTAACGTGGCCAGATTTATTAAAAATATCTTTATCTTCACGGATTGGACACTTTAAAAACATAATAGTGGAAGGAGGAGGATTTTGAGGATGGCTCGGACGAGAAAATGAGGAGAATGTGGCTCGGAAGAGAAATTGTTGTGGCTGGCCTTCCTTCCCTTTCCGATTTCGATAGCTACTGTTACAACTTTTGAATTTCAGGATAATATGTTCTTGATCCTTTACTCTTCGTTATCCTATGGCTATGGACAACAAAAGATACGGAACTGCTTGATCCCGTGATCCACAACACTCATCTCTTTCTTTCCATTCTTTTATACATTTTTTTTATTTTTTTTAATTTTTTATTTTATTGTTGTGTTAATACTTATTTTAGGTTTCTCTCTTTTTTATCTATTCTTATCTTCTCATATTACTCATTCTTACCTTGAGTTATCTGATACAGAAACCATTTCCAGAATGGCGGATCTACTGGAAACTGAAAAATCAATTACAAAAATAAGATTTTAAGTTTTATCTTAAGAATGTTAGAAAATAAAACGGTGATCATTCACTCAAACAATATTTCATGATGTTACCTGTACTATTCTGTGAAGGTTAAACGTCGGTTCCAATATTTCATGATGATACCTGTACTATTCTGTGAAGGTTCAACGTCGGTTTCAATGGCAAAACTTTCTCTTGGTTCAGAGATTTCAAGACTGTCCGTGTCATCAATACTATAATTCAGAAGTTGAAGAGCTGGTTTAGGTTCAGGTTCAGGTTCAGGCTCTTGATCAGGTTCAGATTTTAGTTTATGTTCAGTTCTAGATTTTAACTCAGGTTTAGAATCAGATTTAAGTTTATATTGAGATTTTACTATTGGTTTAGGTCCAGGTTTATTTTGAGATTTTACTACAGGTTTAGCTCCAGGTTCAGGCGAAGTTGTTTCTGATTGAAGAGAGTCTGGAGTGATAAGCCCTGAACTTGGTTCATCTTTCTCTATGTTTCCTTCAAAATCAGTTTTTTCATAGCTTGAGTTTTCCTCTGTAGTTATGTCACTGCTTCTAGACTCTGATAACTCCGACGTGTAAACATTACTTCTACGGAGATGTTCTAAATCAAGATTTTCTGCTTTAATTCTAACATTCACAGTGTCCGAGTTTTGTTCGCAATTAATTTGCTTTAGATTAATATCTAAACCTTTGGTCCTTTCACTGGTTCGAGGTTCGATTTTTTTCAACTCTTTCTCGGTTTCAAGTGAAGCGACATGAGAATTAACAATACCAGAACCTTGGAAATAACCAATTTGAACTTGATAAATTTTATTATGTTCTTGTTGTGCATCCTTGAAATTCTTCAATCCGTAATTCGTATCAGAGTTTTTAGATTTTTTATCATTCAAGAAGTTCGGATTTTCTTCTTCTCCTTTCTTCTTGTGTTCCACAATACTATTGGTGAACCCAGGCTGTATGGCATTCTTAGCTTCAGTTTTTTCATTTTTAACTCTTAGTGGTTTCGAAACAGAGGGTTGGAAGTTATCAGACGAAACAGTTTCAGATTGAATTGTTGAACACTCGGTATCTTTAGGAGTATTATCATCTCCTAGCTCAATCTCACATTCTTCATCAAATTCAAATCCACTGAAAAATTTAATTTAAAAAATTTTATTTGAAGCGACAGATATATCTTACCCGATCTTTGGTTTTATCGGTCGCTCATCTGCTTCATGTGTTAAGACAGGAACCGGAGCAGTGATGAACCTGGATGCCAGGAGAGCTAACCCTGATAATTCATCCCTCCTGGAGATTACAGGATCCTTTTCTTCTATCTCAGCCTCAACCTCAATATCTTCATCAGTTCCATCTCCGCTGTCCTCCTCACTAGGTATAAATAAAGTTATTTCCTGAAATAACGGAAAGTTTCATGCCTTAACTTTAATCCCAAACAACATATTTACTCCTCTTGTTTACTTCACCTACTGCCCTACTTCTGTATATATACCTACTCTCCTACTCATGTATACCTATTATCCTGCTCATGTATGCCTACTATTATGTTCCTGTTAACCTTCTATCCTGCTCCTGTATACCTACTATCATACTCCTGTATACCTACTATCATACTCCTACTGTATACCTACTTTCTCACTCCTGTACATCTACTATCCTGCTCCTGTACACCTACTATCCTCCTCCTGTTTACCTACTATCCTGCTCCTGTATACCAATACTATCATTCTCCTACCTACTATCCTGCTCCTGTATTTCTACTATACTGCTCCTGCATACCTACTATCCTACTCCTTTAAACCTACTATCCTGCTCCTGTATAGCTACTATCAAGCTCCTATATACCCACGATCCTGCTCCTGTATACCTACTTTCCTGCTCCTGTATACCCACTATTCTGCTCCAGTATACCTACTATCCTGCTCTTGTATGCCTACTATCCTGCTCCTACCTACTATCCTACTCCTGTATACCTACTATCCTGCTCCTGTATACCTGATATCATGCTCCTCTATACCTGCTATCCTGCTTCTGTATACCTTCTATCCTACTCGTGTATACCTACTATCCTGCTCCTTTACACCTGCTATAATGCTCAGCTGTATACCAACTATCCTGCTCCTTTATACCCACGATCCTGCTCCTGTATACCTACTACTCAGGTCTTACATGCCTACTATCCTACTCCTGTATACATACTATCCTGCTCCAATATACGGTCATACTATAAATACGCGACACTATAAAAACGCTACACTAAAAAAACGCTACACTAAAAAAAGACCAGACCATCACCAGAATTTGTCATCTTTGTAATTTAAATTTTAAACGTAAGAGAGGCTCAAAGAGGTGCATTTGTGGCCGTTATGTACATGTAAAATGTCATAAAAATAGAATTAATTGCCCATACAAGAATGAATGACAGTAATAATATGTGGTACACTTATAATTTTTCCATTTATGACTATGAGAATTTAAAAATATATATCTCTTAAATTATAAACTTATGATTTATTTTCAATTTACGACAATACCTACTATCCTGCTCCTGTATACCTACTATCCTGCTCCTGTATACCTGATATCATGCTCCTCTATTCCTGCTATCATGCTCAGCTGTATACCTACTATCCTACTCCTGTATGCCTACTATCCTGCTCCTCTATACCTACTATTCTACTTCTGTATACCTACTATCCTGCTCCTCTATACCTACTATCTTGCTCCACTATACCTACTATTCTACTTCTGTATACCTTCTATCCTACTCCTACTATTCTGCTCCTGTATACATACTTTCCTGCTCCTGCATATACCTACTATTCTACTTCTGTATACCTACTCTCCTGCTCCTGGTCTGAGTCTGAATCCTCTGAGTTTTCAACCATCTCCAAGATGTATTCCAGCTGCTGACGGACTTCCAACTCCGAGCGCTGAATGCAAGGACGGGTTCGGAGTTAGCAACAACAATATCAAAGAACTATTAAATGTAATAGATCAATGGAGCACAGGTGTTCACATGTTGTCATGAGTTAAATTAATATTAGACAAAAATTGCTAAAACTAAAAAGTAAAAGAAAGATCTAACCTGAACTAACGAAGATAATTTCTCCTGAACCTGAGTTCTCCTGGGAGATAACAAACTTAAAGATCTAGATCTAGACTAATATAAGAGTTTTTCCAAACCTCACAATGTTAGACAGGATTAGATTAAACATGGAAGCATAGTTTATCTCTAGGTTGGTTACCTTGAAATGTCCTTGATAACTGAGTTACTGAGTAAACTGTAAAGGGTTCCGTTCACGTAGGGTTTAATCTAAACAATATATTAATTAAACTGTTTATATCTTGTTTGTGGCTTGTCAAGCCGGTATTAAGGACTGAACCAATTATAAAAACCCCATCAGTTTCGTTTTTCGCCAATTAGCAAAAAAAAAATTTTAAATGAGTTAAAATGGGAATCAGTGGAGATTAAAAAGAGGTTCTACATTGGAAGAAAATTTTATGCCAATTAAAATGTTACGAAGCAGTCTGAATTTCTGATATTATTGATCTTAAATATAATCTGAACCTGACTGATAGGAGATGAGGCAAGGTTTAGAAGAGTGTTTAATAGTTCCTCAGCTATGGGAATACAATCCTCTTTTCCTTTTCTGTAATATAGAAAAAAATGAAGAAACTTCAATAAAAAAGATAAAATTCAGAATCCAGACCTGTGCAAACATAGATTCATTAACAGTGCTGTAGAGTACTCCAGAGAATACTGACGTTGCTTCTTCCAATCCTGTTGAAAAAATATAATTTAAAAAAAAATTGTTTTGTTTTTGGCAAACAAAATTTTAAATTAGTTTAATATATTACATACATTGCTTTAATCTTAGAAAAAATTTGCGGCATTCAACTTGGCAACATAATTTTAGAAATATTTTTCATTTATTATCACAAAATGACTCTAATCCCGCCATTTCCAAAATGTGGTCTGTCCTTTTTTTTGCTTAGAAATTACCAAAGACATGATGGATTACGTACAGAATTAGACAATATCATGACTTTGTTCAATAAATGAAATCTGAACAAAATTCTTGATATCTCTTGTAATTTTGAAAGCTAAATTTGAAAATGGCAAGATTAGAAAATTGTTTCATGTCAAATATTGAGACAATTGTTAGTAATAATAAGTTTTTTAAAAACCTGGCCAAAATAAAATAAGAATACTTCTGCCCATGATCAATCAATTAATCAAATAATCTATCAAACAATTAAATAATTAATTTCCTGAAGATACACTCCTCCCAACCATCTCACTAAACCCAATTTTAACAATTTCTTTCTTACTCCGAACCTAGAACAGACACAGGAGTAATTAAACAAAGATTTGGATTTAAACAATTTTGAATTGAAAGTGGGATTCAAGGAAGTGAGAGTGGGGGGGCGTGATTAATTGAATTCAAGGAAGTGAGAGGGGGGGGGGATTAATTGAATTATGAAATTTGTTAATGTTTAATTTGAACTAACTTAAGACTAAGTTTCTGCAAGGTAGCAACAATCATTTCAACTATCGGTGTCTCCATCCTTGAACTCATCTTTACCAGGCAGGAGACTAGTGTCTCCAGTAGAGCAGGGTGACCGGCAATATAGCTGCGTCCAGATCCAGTGCTGGCCAGAGCATTAAATATCCTAGCTAGAGATTGTTGCATCAGGGTTGGAAGGTGCTCAGAAGGTTTAAAACAAGAAAGGATTCGTTCCTGACACTGAAAAAAGAAATTTTAGATTTTAAGAAAAAACTTATCAATTTTATTCGAATTCACAGTTTTAGTTTTAGTTTATCTGCTCTAGGGATTTAACCTGGTTGTTGCCTAGCCCCAGGAAATCAGTCTTGTGAAAAGTTGAAACTATCTCCAGTCTAACTTCAGGTTCAGATTTGGTGATCATCTAAACAATTTTAATTAGTTATAACAAGATGCAACCTTTTAAATTCAAATTTGTCCTACCCATCTCAAGGCTTGGAGAAGAAGAAGTTTAGCTCTGGTTTGATGTCCCTGGAGTTCTTCTCTGATACTCTCCGAATCAATGATCTCCAGAATGGATGAGTAGGTGTACTCCGGGATACGATTCTTCCTCTCATCAGAGCTAGCGGTTCCAACCTTCTCCTGGATCCGTAGGTTTCTGAGCGCCCTTTTCTGCAATATTTATTATTCAGAAACAAATATCAAGTTCTTTGATTTTTCAAGAGAAAGAAGAATATCTGAACCTTGCTCCAGGTTAGAACCGGGTTTTATACCTGACTCCAGGTTGGTGGAGAAGGATTGGATCCGGAAAACAGTTCTGGAAAAACCGAATTGCAACGATCTATCATCTATAATAACATTCTTTAGTGTGAAATAAAAGGGTTTATAGGGAAAATGATTGGATGTATGAAAAGAGGTGTGAGATATGAAACCTAAAGTATTGATTTATTGGTAGCATTTTTTATTTCTATATGATGTTTCCGTAAACAATATTTGATTCACAAACTTAAAATTTCTAATCCATATATCTTTGCAACCTGATTTTGTATACCTTTGATATTTCAAACTTAGATTATTTGATCCATCAGAATTTAAAGTTTTAAATATCTAAAGTGGACGACCATGGGTTGCAAATAAGAGTTTCTTGCAAAGACTCGATTACTTTATCCAAGGACCCAAGAAATGTTGTCTGTATCTGCTGGATTAGTCCTGCACTGTCACACCTTCTTGTTGTAAGCACAAGCAGAGGGGATTAATTTAAAATACTCTTCAGAGATATATTGCGCGGAATATGAAACCACTAAATTCATAGATTGTTGATTTGTTTGTTATCATGCAGCTTTTGTATCATTTTTTAATCTTGGTTTGAGAAAACCTACATTTTTCCACTGATATTTGATGTTGGACTGATGACCGTTAAGAAGACTGGCGCGGGCAAGATCTTCCAGTCCTGCGGTCAGCTCTGTAGTTACTCCTGGATACAAAAGTACACAAATATTTACTGCTTGTCAGGATGAAGAAAATTTTTTTTTTTTGATTTTCACCCAAAGTTTTATTTATCTTCCTACAGTGATAACCAGAAAACTCTGGAATAGAAAGACAATTGTAAGACTCACGTTCTGACTTGAAATAGTCCAAAAAACATTAGACACAGCAATTGAGAAGTTTAAACAGACCCATATCACTTAATTAGTGATCTAATAAGTTTAAACAGACCCATATCACTTAATTAGTGATCTAATAAGTGGCTGGAAAACTTATCGCATTTTAACATCATCAAATACAATGAAGTATTGCTGTAAAGTCTTCATCCATATTTTATTGTTTTCTGGTTATTACTGTATGCTAGTGCTTACCTATAAGTTTAGTATGATCATCTCTAAGTTGTTGATACTGACGCAGAAGTTTGCTGTACTGTACACCAACCAGTTCCTGGCACTGTACTGCAACTACACGGCATAGCAGGCTTTCACCACACACCTCACGAATACTCTACATTGTACAATATATATTAAATATGTAAAGATATATTTATTTTACAATATTGTAAAACGTACACTATACACTAGAATAGATTAGTAAATCTCCAGTAATAATGGAATCAGGGACAAAAGAAAGAACTTATTAAAGACGAAAAAGTAAATAGTATCATAAGGAAGTTACGTGACTAACCCTCCATAATGAAACCTGTTAAGATTGAGAAAATTAGAAAATTAGACAATTTTATATCAATTTACATTATTTTACAATGTGTGTATATTTTACAATAATGTAATTTGATATAAATTAATAATACAAAATATATAAACTATAGAAAAAATATAAATTGATTAATAAATATTGTATAATATACACATATATTTTACATAATTGTACAATGTATAAAATACAGGGTTTCCCAGAAAAATAGTGAATTTTTGGAAAAAGTTAAACCCGGTGTAAATATTGGAACCTTTGGACACTAGTGTATAACTTAATTTGGAGGGGTCAGGAAGAGGGTAAATCATCAGAAATATGGTTGAAATATGGCTGAGTATGAAAATAAATTTTGAAAGTCACAAATAGCAGTTTATATAAAATTTTTCGTTTATGATTGACCTGTATAAACTTCCAAAAAAATCTAAAAGATAAAAGTGATAAAGATTTTAAAATTCCGATTTCTTGTTTTTCTCCGATTTGCTAATCAAACTCAAGAAAAATTAAACTTTTTTAACAAATTATTTGTTTTATTGGCTAGATACACATAATTGTCATCAACCGTAAATTTGATATTTTGCCGCCTCTTCAGGTAAAAAACAATACTTCGGATCAAAAAACCCCAATAACTTTTTTTCTGGGAAACCCGATGCAAATACATATATTATTCTTTCTCTATTCCTTCCCGAAATATGATGTTTTGCAAGTTCAAGTGTTCAACAGTTATTGGATAAATGATATTTTCTAAGTTCAATGACCTTAAACTTTTTGTAAACTTCACAATTTTCATTCAATAACAATTGTATTTCAATTATTATTTCTTTTGATTAAAATTGCAACAACATTTTGCATTCATATACAACAATTCATTGGCATTCATTGCAGGGGGGGGGGGATTGGCGATAATTCTATTCTATTTCTATTCTAATTCTATTTCTATTCTATTGCAACTCTAATAAATGATAAAAAATCTATTTTAAAATGTCAACATAAAAAACTAAATGTTTATTTGAATGTCCACAATGTTATTGATTTTATTATAATGTCTTTCTCGATTCTGATTCATCATTAATGTACAATGTACATGAAAGGGTATAAAAGAAATGTACAAAAATATCACCATGTTTGTACGAATAGACCTGGAATAACGATAAATGTAATCTAAAGGAAAATTATTTCAAAGTTTACATTATTAGCATTATGGCGATTTATAAAAAAGTAACTCCATATTTAAAATATCAGATAAACATATGTTGTATATTTTATTTTAAACTCAATCATATCCAAAATCCTGCAGGAATTGAATCTTTGCTACAAACTCAAATTTTCTCATTCCTAAATCTAACCTAATAATGTAAACCTAGATTATTTGATCTAACAGAAGTCATAGTTTGAAATTTCCAAGATCTTCGACATTGGGTTGCAAAGATAGAGGGATTGAAAGATCAGACTTTGTGACAAAGACTCAATTCCTTACAATTCCTGTATACGCAACTGAAAGTTAAGTTTAAATATGAGTTTCTCTCCCNCCCCCACCCTTCCCCGCCCTCCAAGCATGTCCCGGAAAACCTATTTTTAAAATTTTATTTTCTCATATTTTAAAATTATTTTAGCAAAATTTTGATAATTTTGAAAGTCAATTTAATTAAAATTAAATTTTATTAAATACAAAATCTTAAAGGATGTTTTTATATCTTTGCTCAATTTTAATTAGACAAAGGAACTGATTACTCGCCTCAAATCTAATTTCCAATTCTTTTAACTTAACTTTAAATATCTGACCTTAGGGTGTTGTGGTAAGGCTCTAACTCAAATTTTGGCCCGAAACCTCGGGGATAAAATTATTTTTTTTAATCACGAAACCTCGACCACCCCTGAAGAAGAGAGGCCTTACCCAATACCAACCTATATAGAAAACATGGGCAGATTGTAATTGGGGAAAAAAGACTAATCCTGAAGTAATACTCTTCAGAGTTCTGAGTACTTAAGCAAACTTTAACAACTAAATGTTTAAAAGCCACAGCGCTCGGCCCACTGGCCCATCCTAGCCGCAGCGCTCGGCCCAGATATAATCCCGACCTAAACTATATTACAATATAGACAACATGAGCAGAATGTAATTGTACAGCAGTTAAATGTGAACAAAATGTGTGTTTGTCTGTTGGTTTCGCGGTTTATTACTTAATATATGTTTTTGGATATTGTTTGTTGGGGCCTATGGTAGATATGGTATGGTATACACATGACCTAATGGTTGAATTTGAGAGTTAGAATTTCGCTATAATGGATTGAACCAACTTTTCAACCTAATGATGTCGAAACCTTTAATATTTCAAACTTTGACTGTCTGACCTATGCAACTGAGTTATAAATAGAAATCTTTTAAAGTATCAGGTTGCAAGAACTAGAAAATAAGAATTTGAGTCAAATAATCATTTTATAACCAACCACTTGGAACATGACATCAGCACCCGTTTGGGCCTGATAACCCACTAGACACCATAGATTTTCAGGGAGGGGCTGTTCCCCAATGCCCCCCTTGTATACGCCTTTGGGTGAAAAAACATCTTCTACAGTTATTATGTAGTTTAAGATATTTTTATCAGTCTGATAAAAAACTTTTCATCTCTTTGGAAAACCGTCCAATTTGTTAATAGTTTCCAGAAGTTTGAAATTTGAAGAAAACCAATATATTTTTTTCAAATTATACATTTTTGTAAAATGAATACGTCTACAATTTATTTAAGCTTGAAGCTTAAAATAAGCGTAAATTAAAGGTGAGACAAGAACATTTTTTGGTACATATTTACAGGGCTCTGCTATGCTAGCCCAAAGAATCGATTCGATGAAAACAATTAAGATATATAAAAAATCGAAATAAAAAAATTGTAATCCTGCATTATTTTTGAGTGATATTGTCGCACGTATAATTTCCTTAATTATAGATAATCATGCTGCGTTGAAAGTTTAAAAGTTCTAACTCCGGGTTTACCTTGATATTACTGGTTCAAGGTTTATTACCAAAATAATTTTACTTTAATAATACTTTGTGAGCGGAGCAGAGCTTATATACGACCAATGTTTATTGCAAGGGAGGGGGAGAAAGGGGGAAACCTAAGTTAATACTATTTCCTTGAGAACGTTATTTTGTGCTCTACCTTTATTATCCGTCTTATACTTTTTAACCTAACCGTGCCCATAAAAAAAAAAAATTTCTTAAAGCTTAACTTACGGTAACTGCAGAACCTATCTCTGAAACAATAAAACTGGAACCTTACTCAGTATCCCTAGAACCTAGCTTACTCTGTATCCCTAGAACCCACCTTACTATGTATCCCTAAAATCAACCCAACTCTATATCCCTAGCTGGAACCTACCTAACTCTGTATTCCTAGAACCTAGCTTACTCTGTATCCCTGGAACCTAGCTTTCTCTGTATCCCTGGAACCTAGCTTACTCTATATCCCTGGAACCTATCTTACTCTGTATCCCTTAAACATATCTTACTCTGTATCCCTGGAATCTACCTTACTCTGTATCGATCCTTGGAACAAACCTTACTCTGTATTCCTGGAACCTACTTTGCTATGTATCCCTAGAACCTACCTAACAATGTATTCGTGGAACCAACCTTACTGTTTATTCCTAGAACCTACCTTACTCTGTATCCCTGGAATCTATCTAACTCTGTATCCCCGGAACCTAGTTTACTCTGTATACCTGGAACCTAGCTTACTCTGTATCCCTGGAACCTAGCCTACTCTGTTTCCCTGGAACCTAACTTACTCATTATTGCTAGAACCTACCTTACTCTTTATCCCTGGAACCTAGCTTAATCTGTATTCCTGGAACCTAGTTTCCTCCGTATCCCTGGAACCTAGCTTCCTCTGTATCCCTGGAACCTAGCTTACTCTGTATCCCTGGAACCTACCTTACTCTGTATCCCTGGAACCTAACTTACTCTGTTTTCCTGAAACCTAGCTTAATCTGTATTCCTGGAACCTAGCTTACTGGAACCTACCTTACTCTGTATTCCGGTAACCCACCATACTCTGTATCCGTGGAACCTAGCTTACTCTGTATCCCTGGAACCTACCTTACTCTGTCCCTCCTGAACTGAAATATCTCCATGTTGAATCATCTTGACCGCAAAGTAGATATGAAGTTTGAAGTTTAGTTTGAGAAAGACCTGACTAGATCGCTCATGGGGAACCAGGGATGGATTCTCCCAAACCTAGGTTTAATCTATGTAATAAAGCTCTTTGCTCATATGTATATTTATATGTTAGCCATAGCAGGCTAAACGGCTGGAGCCTGGATTAAATTTGTTGAAATTTTGTTAGGAACCTTTTAAAATTCCACGGGCAGAGTCGGGCACTTTAACCAACCTCTAATACGGTCACTTTCCCACTGGAAGACGTAAATTAATTCATTGATTGTTAGATGTAAGATTTGACAAAAACACAAGAAATTATTAGAAATAACGAAGCTGACGTCATAGTTTTTAATTGGGCTCAGGACAGGTGCATCTATGATTGTTAATAGTTTTGGTTCGTTTAAAAAACTGTTAATAAAACTTCCAACATTTCAAAACTGTATTCTGTTAACGTTTTCTTTTATTCAAAGGAATTGAGTTTTAGCCACAAACTCTTATTTTCTAATACCTAAATCTTTGCAACATGATGATGTTACCCTTATATATTTCAAATTTAGATTATTTGATCTACCAAAATTAATAGTTTGAAATATCTAAGGTCTACGACATTGGGTTGCAAAGATATAAGGATTTGAAAACCAGAGTTGGTGGCAAAGACTCAATTCCTTTGTAACATTTTTATCCTAAGAATAACAAACCAAAAAACGATAGTTCTAACATGCTCGTTTTCGGTTCGTTTTTTCTCAGGGCTAAAACTTGGCATCGTGTATAAAAGCAAATGTTTAGAGTAAACAATTTAAAATTTGTAAAACTTCTCATATATTTGTGGTACTTGTAAAAACCAAATCCCTTCAAAAACCTTATTGTTCCTATGTGCATCATTCGTGTCAGAAGATTCTTAATTTAAGACTCTGATCCGTTTTTTGTTTAATAAAAGGATTATTGCATATCATTTTTATATAATCCCCGAATTAAATTTCAAATAATTTGAAAATATTTATTGTCTATTTTGAATTTGTTTGTTCAAATAGAAAAGTAACATTAATTTGATAAATTTTATTGATAAAACTAATATTAGCAATTCATTATATTGTCTTCATAATAATGCTTTATAGCATGAGGATTAAGGGGGGGGGGGAGTAGGAAAGTTATACATAAGAACAACACATTTCATCAAAATCTATATTTTAGCCGAGTTTTGTCTCATCTGCTGAAATAATTTTTAATAATAAAAGTCATATTTTATTGTTAACTCTTGAAGAGACAGTTTACGTGATTTAAGATATTCTTCATTTTAAAAGTACCGTAAACAGAACCCTGGAACCTTTATAAATGCATCAACGAATGAGACTCGTGGATTTCTACCTTACATTGAACACTTTTAAAACTAGAGCAAGAAAAGAGCCTGTATTTCCTCATTTTAGAAAAAGTATCATCTTCTAAAAAGTGGAGTCTGTAAGGTGAGATTTAAAAGGATACTGAGTCCGAATTTAAAGAATTTGAGTCGCGGCTTAAATTTAAATTGTATGGCATTTTTCAAGATTTAAGCCGGCGCTCAATTGAAACCGGTTTTTGGCAGATTTAAGCCGCGGCTCAAATTCATTAAATTCGGACACTTGTTGTGAATAATTCTTAGAAACCTTTATTCGCCACTCTCCATGTAATTTTCCTCACAATTCTCATCAATTATTTGTGAGAGGGAAGGACGTTGTTCAAAGTTAGAAGGAACTATAAGGTAGCAGTACAAACGTCGGACCCACGAACGTCGAATCAGTACAAAAGTCGGACCAGGACAAACGTCGGACTAGTACAAACGTCAGATTAGTACAACCGTCAGACCAGTACAAACGACGGATCCCAGTACAAACGTCAGACCAGTACAAACGTCAGACCAGTAAAAACGTCGGGAAGGAAGGACATTGTTCAAAGTTAGTAGGAACTATAACACAATAAAGGCGATAGAATTTTGCATTTTCTTTTTTTAAGTTCGCGGAACTAAGAAGTTTAAGTTTGCAAAAAGAAGTTTTTAATCTAATATTAAAGTTTAAAGGATAATAAACTAAACATTGTTAACCACAAAATTCTGCCATTTTTCCAATTTTTCCAGCCTAGCTTAAAGGGACTGTGAGAGTAATTTTAAGTGACCTCCATGCAAAAATGGCAATGCCAGATTCACAACGTGGTACCCTTAAAAGAATTTCAAACTAGAAAAACAACAGTTCCCCATTATTGATCGGATATTGGTTTCAAGGGTACCGTTGTGGGTCAGGTATTGCCATCATTGCATGGTGAGCCGCTTGAAATCATCCTTACAGTCCCTTTAAGCCTATAATGCATTCAATTTTTAGAAAGAGCCCCCCCCCTCTCCACAGTTAATGATATGTATAATAGCTTGGGAACCCAGCGTTGTCCAGGTTACTCATAGTTACTCCCGCCGTTTACCCGCGCTTGGTCTTAAATTATGATTTGAGCTATTTTTCCCCGTGAAAGTTTCCCAAGTTCCCCAATCAAAATTTGAGAAAAATCAGTCATTGGGTTGCTGAGTTATGATTACAAACAGACAAACAAACAGATATCACTACTTTATATATAGATGCACACTAAAACATACTTAAAATACTCATTCAAGGACATAAATCAACTTTTAAAGAGAGTGACCGGCAATGTTTTATAGTTTGACTGAGAATGTAGTATTGTGGAGAAATTTCTTAGGGTTCAATTGAGAAATATAAAACGCTTTAATGATTTAAAATTTCTGAGTTTGAGCGCAAAGTCGATTTTCAAAATCATCCATTTGGGTGGTTACATTTGGGTGGTTACATTTGGGTGGGTACATTTGGGTGGGTACATTTTGAGAATCAATTTTTTTTAAATTAATAAATAACGACGACAAGGAATGTAACACAAATTCTACAGTAATCTAATTAATTGTTTAGAAACAGTTTGAGAAAATAAAAATTAGCACTCATCATCAAAAGTTAGTGATCTTATTCAGCTTAGTTTGTGTAACCTCTCATTCTTCACAAAAATTTTCTGTAGATTTTTTGGAATTTTATTGAAAAGACGACATTTGAAGAATTTGTAGAAATCTGCAAACAAATTCGTGAGAATAAGAAATTCAATATATGATGAAAAAGAAATAATTGATTCTAACATTGATTTATTGAAAATTTATATTGAAAATATGTTCCTAAACATATTATTAGTTTACTGAAAATAGATTCTAGTACAATAGACAGCAACGTAGAGTTTGAACACTCTCAATAAAGCTGTATTCTGACGTCATAAGTGTCAATTCAGTTTTTGTGTCCGACAAAATTATCAATAATAGTGATAATTATAGAATAAAGTGCTTATCTTACAGTAAAATAAGTGCAATTTTATGTGTTCTTTATTTTCTGTTGTTACACTTTTTTTATTTAATCTTGGAAAACATGTCAACTAATGTGAGAAAATTTCGCTTTCCTTGTTATATTTGACATTTGTGACGTCGTGTATAATTGGTACATTCCTCTGTTGTCACCTATTGTACTTGATAATCTATTTGGTTTACTGTAGAATTTTCGATACATGTTTTTCGTCGTTATTATATAATTTTAAAAAAAATCGATTCTCAAAACGTAACCACCCAAATTTTGAACATCGACTTTGCGCTCAAACTCAGTAATTATACATTATTAAAACATTTTATATGTCTCAAATGAATCCTAATAAATGTCTCCACGAAACTACATTCTCAGTTCAACATACCATACATTTCCGATCACTCCTTTTAAAACCTTGATTATGTTCACACAATAAATCCCCCAGTCAAGAAATCCCCACGCAGCAAGAAGCCAATAACTGGGGAAATTTGAAATAAAAGTTGAATCCCCCGGGGGAGAAAACTCAGCCTTATTGGTTTCCAAGCCTGTGATATTATACCAAATCAAGGGTATTATCTACTGTTTTAAGAGTGTAACTATTTCATCGAAAAAATCTAATCGTTTCTGCGCCGGCAAAAAATTATGCAGTAGTAAATAATAAGTAACATTAAAAAAGAAAAAAATTTAAAAACTCAAGATTCATTCAGTAAATCAAAAATCAGAGGTCATAAGAAAAGGTCGAGTTTGAAAATTCTGAAGAAAAAATCTATTTTTTAAATGTATCAAAGAAAAGTTTTCAACTAGTGCAAACTGCAAGGTGGATTTGAGAATTTTCATCAAAAAAAGTGCCAAATAGTTTCACCCTTACTTATATTTATAAGATAGTTAATAAATTAGGTGAAGCTATGTCTAAATTTAAGTAAATAAGAAAGTAAATTTATAAAATATAAGAAAAATACAAAATTAAGTGTTTTAGGAGGAAATGTTTAAAAACCTCAAAAATTAAAGATTGTGGGAATATTTCCCGCAATTCTAAAAAAATTTTCCTTTTTGGAATAAATACATTTACTAGCTGGAGTGCCCGGTGTTGCCCAGGTTTATATTATTATTCATAGTAATACTTACTTCCGCCGTTTACCCGCACTTGGTACTAAAGCATGATTTTAGCTTATGTGCCCGGTCTTGCACGTGAAATTTAAAAAAACTTCCAAAATATTTTAGCCCATAGTACCCCTCGGGGTACCCATGGTTTGCTCAAAATTTTTAGCCGATTTGGTCCAGCCGTTTGGCCAGCGATAGAGAACATATATATATATATATATATATATATATATACAGTAAAGATAGATGATGTAGAGATTCTTAATTCAAGAAATTGAAAATAAAAAAATAATGTAAACACTTATTTCTTAACAAAAATATTGGTTTAACCAATCTATAAAACCAGTTCTTATTCAACATTTATTTAGGTTTACGTACTGCTGAGATATAAACCGGTTCATGTATTTACTTTCTTAACTAGGTCCAGTTTAATAGTATGTACTGCAGATAATTTATAAATATAAATGCCTGATACTGTGACCAACTGGAGTTTTTATACAAAGTATAGATTAATGATTTCCTGAAAACTAATTAGGACAAGAACATTTTCTGCAGGAAATTTTTTTCTAATTTTATTGTTTTTCATACAGTGCAGTGATACCCAGAAAACTTTGGAATAAGAATACGACATTAAACAATGCTTAAAAGTTTATGATGTATTTACAAAAAAACCACCAGTAACTTTTAAAATCACTTATTCAGGAAAATGGGTCTGTTTACACTGCATAATTGCTAAGTCTCATGTATTTTGGAATATTTACAGTCATAACTTGAGTCTAAAAGTCGTCTTGATATTCCTCACTGTAGAAGATTAATACAAATTGTAAAAGATCATCTTGAAAAAATTGTATGATTTAACAGTATTCCCTTTATAATTTATAATTTATAACTATATCCTAATCGTCGCACCCGGAGAAGCTGCTAATATTTTTTTCCTAAACTATACTAGATAGTTAACAAAATTAATTAAGAAGTGAACAGAATATAAATGTTCTTAAAATGCAAGAATTTATTTAAAGTCCTGTTTTTCAGGTGGTGAACATGGGTGGTGTGGTACTCAACCTGTTTTATCTCTCACCTTTAGAAAGTCATCTTCATCAAAGGAGTCAAAAGAATTGATTAGTTCATTCATCGTTTTCACGCTTACTATTGTAACATTTTCTAAACAATACAAAAAATTAGAAAGATAATAGATTTCGGAATGAAAGTGTTTAAACTAAATTTTCTTAATCGTTTACTAGCTAGTTCCGGGAAATTCAGTTTAAAGGGAGTGTCTGGCTATACATGGTAGTTGAGCTGATAATGCAGTATTGTAGAGACATTTTCATGTTTGTTCAGCAAGAGCGCAAATTCAATATTTAAAATACTAATAAATTGTTCATTTTGGAGAGATGATTTTGAGAATCGGCTTTTTAAAAATTATTCAATAACGATGATGAAAAATATAACAAAAATTCTACAGTAAAAAATTAAATTCTAAGCTCAACTACCATGTCTCGCCAGACACTCCCTTTATAAGTATGATTTTTTTTTAATTCTTTAGATCGCTGTAATTAAGGATTAGTATTATCCACTATAATCCTGTTTTTGTAAACAAAAACCAGATTTTAATATTAATCAAATCCATGACGAAAGCACAAAATTCCAAAATAATACTTTTTTGACCTAAAAACTTATGACACATCATTTGGTGTACTGTACAGCTCGCTATAACCGGTTAGATGTCGGCCAGGTTCTTGAAATGAACCGGACTTAACCATCTTTAATGTCACTTATAGAGTAATGATAAAATAATAACATTATTTTTTGTGAAAAAAAACTTTATNATGGTATACTTCAGATCCAGACTTTTTTACTCCAGGTCTGGTCTATAGTATACTCCAGGTCTGATCTTGTATACTCCAGGTCTGGTCAATAATCAAGTATAATCAAGGTTTGGTCAATAGTATACTTTCGGCCTAGTCTACTTTACTCCAGGTCTGGTATATTATACTCCATGTCTGGTCTACATATAGTATACTCCAGGTCTGTTTTAAGTATACCCTTGGTATGGTCTAGTATACTTCAGGTCTGGATTAGTATATTTCCGGTCTAGTCTTGTATACTTCAGGTTTGGTATATAGTATACTCCAGGTATGGTCTGGTATACTTACGGTCTAGTATGGTACACTTTAGGTCTAGTAGAGTAAAGGATTGTCCAGTCTTGTGTACAGCAGTTCTGGTATACTGGGTCTGGAGTAGTTTTACTCTAAATATAGTATAATCCAGGTGTGTACCAGGAAACCTGAAGTTTGACCTAATTTACTCTTATGTTTTATTATGCTCAAGGTTTGATTTAGTGTTCTTCTAATCTCATTATGGTTTACTCATATCTAGATATTACAATGACACAGTGTCGATTTCTACCCCAGGTTTAGTCTAGTTTACTCCGATATTGGTATTTCTCCAGGTCTTGTTTTGAGTACTGGTTGTCTGTCTCCGGTCTAAGCTGAAGGAACTGAGGATATGAAGGAACCAGGGTTTGGGGGAAGTTTCTCCATTGATTAAATAAACTGGTAAGACATCTTGTTGGTTGGTCAAACTAGGAAAATCAACCTGTTTAAACATTTTCTTTAATCTTGAAAAAGAGGGAAGTATTTAAAGAAATCATCCTCACTTTCATTAAACCATGGTATATCATATTATTTGTAAACCTTTGTTGAAAAATAAAAAAATTAAAAATTAAGAGTTTTTTTTCGTCTAAATTTCAGAATAGATAAATTGTTTTTTTAAAAATGCGAGTAATTATTTACATATGGAGAAAATAAAAGAACCAAATGCAATTGATGCATAGGGTTTCAAACAGACAGTTTTACATCTCTTAATTGGCTTTGATAAAACCGACCCAATACTTCTGTTTAAACTGTAACATTCTGAACCAAGAATTGTAAACGTGAGACGAACCACTGATAATCCGGGGGAGTGGAAGCTGGAGTTCAGAACATTCTCGCTCAAACTCCCGAGTAGTTCGTAGGAGTTGGTTTCTCTCCAGGTACTCCTTTATATAGGAGTTACACTCTTGGAGCAAGCTTTTCCGATTCTTAACCTGGTAAACATAATGTATAGAAGCACGCTGTGGGAAGTTAAGAACTAAACTATGATTGACTATTTTTAAATGAATCAAAATCAGATTATTTTTCTAAATATTTGTTGAAAAGAGACATCTGCAACAATGCTCGACGCATATGCAGCTGTGCCAGAGAAAGCCGGCTCCCTCTTCTGGTTTGGTAAGAACCGTTGCAGATAGATTTTATTAAATATTAAAAAAGTTATGCTCAGGGGTCGTCCTATGCACTCCCTTTTAAAATTTAAAAACTCTCTTTCATTCAGTTTTTTTCTTCTGGTCACAGAGAATAATATAAAAATGTTTTAAAAAATGATTTTTGTTTATTCTTGAAATTACCTTGTTAATGGATTGGAAAATTTCCTCGTCCTC